TCTCTCTCTCTCTCTCTCTCTCTCTCTCTCTCTCTCTCTCTCTCTCTCCCTCTCCTTCAAGCGGAAACGAATCCGATTTACCGGTTACTAATTACAGTGCAATTTGCAAGGACGATAAATAACGCATTAACTCGCCGCGCTGCCGCCTGATCGGAGACCCGCGCAATAAAGCGCGCCTCGATGCATTTCCTCGATACTCGAAAACGGATGGCGGCCGCGCCCTCGGACACCCGGCATATCCTTAACTGTACAATCCGATTTTATAATTTGTTATATATTATGCGATCCGGTATGGAACGAGCGCCGTAAATCCCGTGTGCTGTTGACCCGACGAGCGCTGGACCGAGACCGGCGCGCGGACCTGCACGGCAGATATCTGCTCGACGGTCAACCGGAAGTAATTAAGGTTTCGACAGAGAATTCTGCGGATAAACGCTACGGTATGGCCAAAAAGAGCGACCACGAAAGACCTCGGGAAATTACGTTACATGTCCCCTCCCCCTCTCTTTCTCTCTTTGCCCTCTCTCTCTTTCTCTTTCTCTCCCTGTTTCTCCTGCAGTCTTAAATACTGCCTCGACACGGCCTACGCGTTATTCCTGTCCATGTAGAATGCCCCGTTAACGATTTAATATAGCGCTTCGTATCCTCCGCCTACTATAATACGCGAGAGACGACGTGCATCAGCGCAGCGGTGCAGCAGCCTTTACTTCTCGTAAAAGCGCTCGCGCAACCGTGCCGGTGTGTGATGCGTCAGCAACTCGCGATATATTTTCACGTGACCCGCGGGAACATTGTCCCGCGATATACAGTGGGTCGCAAAACGGTTTGGACACGATGAAGTTGGCAGCACACCAAACTGTCGAAACTGCGAACTTATGAACTTACTGAGAGAAAAAAGCGGTTGATCTAACTAAAATTACAATTTTTCCCGATCCCAACTATATTTCTTGTACTAAGATGCAATAATATGTAAAGTTATAATCACTAACATTATAGCAGAATTCAATAAAATATAATCTTAAGTACACAATTTGTAGTAATTATTTCTCTATCTTGTGATTATAAATATCAAACATTTCTCTCTCAGTGCAATGATAATATAATTAATAATATAATTAACACGAATACTAATTAATAAAAGCACTAAATAATAATAACAATCGCAATTAATAATATAATTACCAGGCGAACACATCGCAGTAATGACTCTTGATTTGGATAATTTCGTGAGGTCCCAACCTCATTATCTAAACAGTTTTACAATCCACTCTACAACACCTGCAATACCATATAATTGCTTCGTCCTTACGACATCTGACACGGCAGGAGCGCGCCTTCGAGAAATCACACACGCTGCGTACCGCGTCGTAAAAATTCCGGCACGCGATAGAGATTCGCAACATGAAGTTGCTTCATAACCGTCTAATACGCACGTCGAATGGAGATATGCAGCCTGCAAATACGATGCATTCCATATAAACTTCACGTCGCGATTACGGCATCGCGCGCGATCGCGCCAGCCAAGCCGTTCTTATCCTGATCGTATCGCGTATTAAACGTTTCCGCGATACGCAGCGCGCGCACAAGCGCGCATCTTCGTCCCGCGTTCATTATTTAATGGACTTCCTATGTTCAATGGACTGCAATATCCTGGACATTCGAGCGATCGTTTTGTCGGAAGATCCCGCAGTGAGAGATAACTTGGTTATTCCGTATTATGGTTAAACCATGCGTACGACTCACTTCCTTTTTCTCTCTCTCTCTCTCTCTCTCTCTCTCTCTCTCTCTCTCCCCTCTGTCTCGCCCTCTCCTCCTACTCCCACCCTCCCTTACTCTCTCTCCACTTAGACAGGTATTTATTTTTTGCTGTTGACTTTACTTCCTCCCCAAGCTCGGCTCGCGTTATGTGCTCAAGCATTATTATTACAATTATGTCATTACAATAATAGACAAGCGCGGCTCTTGATATGCGAGAGGTATGTGTTACGTTGATGGCGCATAACAAAACGAAGCCTAACAGTAAATGTTATTACATTTTCTTCTTTTTTTTCTAACGGGGCTACCGCGTTGACGCTTAAATTTCGCTTTCCTAACAGTACTCGGGCGTGCTCCATGCAAAAGGCATCTATTAAGAAAGAAGAGGTGTGTGGTTTAGCGAAAGAACTGTACACAAGCGCACTTTCCACAATTGTTTATGACGATGCGGCGTTATTATGTGATACAACGCGATACCCATCCTTCCGAATTGGATCGTCGCGCTTCCCGGCGGTTATTGCTATTCACAAGTTTATGTACACAAAAAAATATCATTCAGCTGTTAAGAAAAGCGACTAGTTTACTTTCCTTCTTTTGAGCAATGGTTGTCCTTGACAAAAAATATTTTCTAGAAAGTAGTCTTAAAATATACTCAATAGAACTTAAAATAAATTTTAGAATTTAAAATATACGTAAAAAATAATCGCGTAGCAAATTACAAAAATTCATTCTTATGTAGCCAAAAGAAGTTCTTCTCTTCACAAGAATATTGTAAAATTTTACTGAAGAGAAAAAGTTGGCTCGACTATGATCGTTTTCAAGGAACACTGCGTTACATAAAGCTTTCTTATTGGCTGCTTGTTATCTCAAAAGATATCTCAAATAATATGTAAAATGGTTTTGTGTAATACAGTGTTCTTTGCTGGAAAACAACCTCCATGTAATAAGCAAACCCAATTTTTGTCTTGACTGGATATTTTTGATTGAAATGTTAAACTTACTAAAATTCAGAATCTTGAATACAGAAAATTTGATGCAGTCACGATGAATTTATGACAGAAATTTTCAGATATGTAGACTTACATTGATAAAAGAATACTTGAGAATTTACTTGCGCGGGCGGGATATAAAATTTAATTTATTCGCAGAAATAAGCTTTATATTTTACAGAAGAGAAAATAAATTTTTTCAAGTATTGTTTTCTCAGTACATGAGATACTTGAAACATTATAACATTTACTTCTCAGTGTATTTTTCTACGCGTACATATATCACTCATTCTGTTTCAACGTATATTTATTATATCATTAATTAACGCTGCCGCATTTTCTTTTCGCGCAGATTATGTGTCGGGAGCGTGTCCCAGGATATGTCCACCGAGCGGTGAGCCCGTTTGCGGCAGCGACGGTGTCATTTACGCGTCGCAGTGCGAAATGCGGAAGAAGATGTGCGGAAAGGGTAAGGCACTTTTAATTATGACAGTTATTACCGTGCGCGCCGCGCAGAGTACGCTCTGGTTGCGCGCTGGGATTACCTTCTCTTCTCCTTCTGCTTCTCTTTCTTTCTTGTTTTCTTTCGATACGCCGATCTGGAACGTGTATCACGCTAAATGCCCGTATGATTTCGTTATACCGCTTTGCATATTAACCGACCGTAAAAATAGCGCGTGGTCGCGTTAATAGCGGCTTATCGAGAAATACAAGCGCAACGGGCGCGCTTCAATTACAATCACGGAAACGACGAAAGCGCCGACCTTCATTCGTCAGTCTCACGCGATATTACCGCGCTGCGCGCGGACGATCACGATGAAGAGATTCCTGTCATATTCTCCTTCTCTCGTTCTCTCTGTCTTCTCTCTTGCTATCTCTCTATCTCTCTCTATCTCTCTCTCTCTTTCTCTTTCTCCCTATCTATCTATCTATCTAGCCAACCGCGATGGGAGTCTAGGCGGTAACGAGGATTCGCTCATTTGTAAAACGGACGTCTGCGATCAATTATTCGCGGCGCGAAACGAATCGCGCGGGTTTCCTAGAGCGTCGAAACGGGCTATTTACGCGTTATAGAGCGCGCGGGGTGATTTGTTCGCCGTTGGACAACGAGGTCGTACACCCGGGAGAGAGATCTCGTTTCGCTCGATGACTCGCACGAAATCTATCCGCGTATCTCATTATTTCGCCGGTGCGCTCGTTTAGGCGTTACCGTGGCCACGGAGAAGACGGCTTGCCTGAGGTCATCCGGTAGCAAGTGCGAGCATCGCTGTCCGGGCGATCAAGATCCGGTATGCGGCACCGATGGGCGTACCTACCTGAACAAGTGCATGCTCAGGGTGGAGATCTGCCGGGTCGGCATCGAGCTGTCCCATCTCGGGCCTTGCAACAATATTTCGGCCCACAGGGAGAATTGCCCGGTCTCGTGCGACTTTGCGCCGCTCGACGGACCGGTTTGCGGAAGCGACGGAAACGTCTACAAGTCTACGTGTCAGATGAAGCTGCTCACTTGCGGGTAAGTCGCGTATGTGAACCAACGGCCGATTATCGCCGAGAGAGAACGCGACGTGGAGTAAAACTGTCCGTTCCCAGACAGACACACTTTATCCTGAACATTCTTATTGTTCCGCTCTTCAAACTTTCAACCTAGAATATATGTACACAAGATCTGACCGATTAATGATAAATCGTTGCGTACACGTAGAACTCATCAAACTGAAAGCAAAATTTCTTTCACAAACAGAGCCACGTAAAATTTTGAGTTATTAATTAAAGAAGGTTGCCAAGTGATCACGCGCGCAATCATGCATCAGTCTTTTTTAATTAATAACTTAAAATTTTATGCAGTTGTTTGCGAAATAGTAGAAGAATTTTGTGTCCAGTTTGATGAGTTTTATCCTGTATATAACGGATGTGTCATAAATTGTTAGATCCTCTGTACGTATATTTTATGTTAAAAGTATAAATATTCGTATTTAAAGGCCGACACAATAAGAATATTCACGATTAGGTACGTACGCACAAAAAAATACATACTACATTCAAGTAAATATTACTTGTTCCAAGTATTTCATAAATTTATGTATCCACAAATCTGTCATGATTTTTCATCATAAGCATTAAATTTATTCAAAATGCATCCCAAATGCTAGTAAGTTTAGTATTTCAATTAGAAATTATTAGTATCGGCAGAAGGCAGCTCCAAGGAGCCGCTCAAGGCATTCAGACCAAGATCCATTATGTTGGATTCAGAATGTTAAGTTAAAACAAAAATTCGGTTTGCTTACTATATATACAGATTCGAACCAATTTTTTTCAACAAAGTTTTATAATATTCTTGTAAAGAAAATTAATTAATTAATTCTTCTTTTAAGTACATCGAAACGAGTTTTTCTTAAATTTGTACATGAGTATATTTCATAAATATATTTTAAGGCTTTCATCAGGAAATTTTTTCTTAAAGATAACCATCACTTAAAAGAAAGAAAGTAAACCGATGTCGTTTTTCTTAGCAGTAGAATGATATTTTTCTGTGTGTATTTCCGGGCATCAAGTTTCTCTACGTATCCCACCAATTTTGTCCAACGATTCGTTAGTATTTACTCGCGATTACGTCGTTCACACTTCGCTCTGACATCTTCTTTACCTCTTTTCACACGAGAAGAAAAAAATGCCTTCTCGACTGTGCGAATAGATTTCTCACTGCAGTTCACTGCAGCCGTCTCTCCTCGTAAAATGTGTGCGCGTAGCGCGTACTGTACCGCGAGTAGAGGTGGCGAGGGGGAGAGGCGGGCGAGGGGTGAAGTAAAAGGGGAGGAGAGAGAGAGAGAGAGAGGAAGAGTTTGTTCGCTAAGTCTAACATAAAACTAGCCTCCGCCGCAAAACCACTTTTGACTTTTTGTTTTCCCGTTCGCAGCCAAGGCGTCGTGCGTACGAATAAGAAGCATTGCCAGACCACAAGACATTGTCGTGAATCGTGCTGGCGTGGTGCCAAGCCTGCCTGCGGTAGCGACGGCATTTTGTACTCGAACACCTGCAAAATGCGAGCGAAGAACTGCGGGTAAGCGCAGCTAGTCCGGCAGAATCAGCCGGCCGGAATCGTCGTGGCGTCCCGCCCCAGCGGGATCCACCTAGTAAAAATCTCGCGAGCTCTCGTAACCCTCCGCCGTTCCCCTTCCTTACCCCCTATCCGCGCACTTAATCATTCATGAATCGCTTCCCCGCGCTCTTCGTTATAAACCCTTCGCGCAGCTTCAAGAACACTCGAGCTGCCTCGCTTGCTTCTCAATCAAGCTAATCGTCCCTCGCTTCTTTTCAGGGAGATTTTTGCGCGAGCATCGATTTGCTATGATATTGAATAATTACGCGACCTAAAACGTCTCACGATAACCGAATTATCGTCTAACACGTCCGATGCAATTTTCCTACCCGTAACTTCTTGTTGATATTCAACCTTGGATCACGTAATTTATAATTATAATTTCACGCATTGAGAAAAAATGTTTGTTATTTGTAATTATAATCACATAGAGAAATAATTACTATAAATTATGATCAAAAAAATCTTTTTTTCTCATTAATATTCTACTATAGTATTAATGATAATAACTCTGTGTGTGTTACTAGACTATATTCGTGTTAAACCTAGAAAACTTTTAAGAGAGTCGTCAACTCGGTCAGGTAACTTGATCACGCGCTATATTTGGCGCCATAGACACTCATAGCTTTGAAAAGAGGTTAAAATAACAATTTGAGGAGTGAAATAGTGTTAATGTAGATAATGTAAAAAATCTATCAAAGGAAAACATGAAATATCACTGATTAGCACTATCCATTAACACTATTCTTCTCTTACTGTCATCTTAACCTCTTCTCAAAGGTACAGATGTCCATGGCGCTCTCAGCCAATCAACGCGCGAACAGATCACGCGCGAGTTGACAACTCTCTTATTGAAGACCCTCTAACTAAAAAATATGATGCATGAAGGCCCTTAAACCAAAAAATATGATTAGGGCCAGAAATAACTATAATTTTCGATAGATTAGCTATTTTGTTTTTTTCTCTCAGATAACTCCACCGAGAAAACTTGAGCGACATATTCATCGAACTGTGCTTTTCAGTAAACACGTCTTCGAGGTGCCGATGTCGTTCTGCGTGTCCCGGGAACGGACGTCTGGGGGTCAATCGAACGCCTGTCCCCTGGACTGCAAAAACGAGCCGGAAGTGTCGGTGTGCGGATCGGACGGAAGTATATATAGGAATGAGTGCGAGATGCAAATGCTAAACTGCGGGTACGTATTTGTCGCGGTTGTCGCTGCGGCGCGCGCACAGACATTTGCTCCTCGTTAAGTCGAAATTATAGGAGACAAATAATCGCAGAACTCGTTCTCACTCGAGAAACAAAATACGGCCGTCGGAGCGCCGTCGCGCGAATAACCGATCGCCGGTCGTAAATCTTGAACAAAGTATTAATCAACAGGCATGCGAGAAGAAAGGTAACGGTAGTGGACTTCGAGAAGTGTCGGTCCCGACTAACGAAATGCATGAAGCAACAGCAGAGGTGCGGAAGCGAGGTGGATCCGGTTTGCGGTAGCGACGCGAATACCTACCCGAACCAATGCCATTTGAACGTGGCGGTTTGCTTGTAAGTTATGCTTATTCAATTATCGCGACAAATAGCCGTAGTTATGCAAGAGTGACCCAACCCACATGAAGTGCGTTTCGAGAAAAATGAAGATTAACGTTTGATGTGACATGATTTAAGAAGTATAGAAAACGCTGAGAGAGAGAGAAAGAGAGAGATTCTTCGCAATCGCTCAACGAATCAAGCATAGCCAATTTTCTTCCTTTTAAGAATATTCAAACAACTCTTAAAAAAAGAACAAAAATGATACAAATAGTCGGGGGAATAAAAACTGTTTTTTAATTAATTTTAGCCGCCCATAAAGCTTGGATCTTTTTTGATTTATGTAGAAAGAGATACGGTCTACTTATTGGTAACAAAAACTCAAAAATCATAATTTTGTAAGTTGGATCATTGCATAACTATGGCCAAATATTACCTGTAGATATAAACGGAATAGTAGGAGTTAAAGTAGCCACCGCGATTGTGATTGCGACAATGTCGCTCACTCGATCAACCAATAAATCAATCAATCGATAGATCGATCGACAAAATCGTTTAATCCTCGTCGACTTTGACGCGTTTCAGAAAGGGCATCCAATTAGCTCACGTCGGCGAGTGCACGACCTTGAAGGAGATCGAACAGTGCCCCGAAGACTGCGCCGAAGTACCCGAGGAACCAGTTTGTGGAAGCGACGGCAACGTTTATCGGTGATTAAGAGAGTTATTTGGATTCCAGTATGTCCGGCTCCGACGGTTTTAAGGGCGTGTGAATCTCAAATGATCGTTCGTTAAGAGAAAGCTACCCAACAGGAGGCTACAGGGCCTTCTTAAAACCCGCTATATTCGCCGATAAACTCTGACTCGAGCCAAATGAAGCGTCATTTACCGATTTAAATTCCAGAAGTTCCTATCAAGTTATAAAAAGACATGTCGGAAACGACTACGCTAAGAGATAGGAATGCTTGAAAATTTATTTGTGGGATATAAAATTTATTCATAGAAATAAGCTTTACATCCCGTAAATAAACTTTCAGGAATTTGTCGCAACTGTGCGCTCAACCGGCTATTACATTCGTCGCAAAAGCTGCGACTGAGTTCCCTTCTCTTAACTTTTCGAGCGCGACACTGATTCGCAAAGATCGAAGTTGGAAACACGCGGACAAAAGGTCTAGAGTAAAATATCCAAAAAAAGGAAAATTCGAGTCCTCTCTCTTGGACTGAGCGCGGCGCGTCGTAACGAGGGTGATCGTCAAAAGAACCGAGTAGCGCGAACGGGCTGTTCCGCCTTCATGTTTGCGGATACATCATGCGTGCACTCGTATGCATTTTAGATCCCTCTGCCATCTGCGACGTGAGACTTGCGGCCAGAGGGTCGTTCAAGTTCCGGCGCAACATTGTCGCACCACCGCGCTCTGCAACCAGATCTGCACCGGGGAGCGCCAGTTTGTTTGCGGCTCCGACAACAAGCTCTATCGCAACGAGTGCGAGATGAAGAGGGACAATTGCGGGTAAGCCGCCTGACCGCGTAGCACTGTGTTTGCATGTTTCATCGGAGCGTGGCGCGGTTATGCGTTGCTCTTGTTATACGATATACGCAAGCAGTGAGCACTTTAATCGATTAACCCTAGAACCCTAAACATGTGTAAAATTCAACTAGACCAGCTTTCCAAACGTTACCGTTCTTAAAATCATGTGTTTTGTTTCCTATTTAACTTTTTTCAACTTCATTGAATCGCAAAAACACTCATAGATTCATATTCCTCGATGTTTTCTACACTAATTAAAACAAGAATGAAACTTCGATTATTTCTAAAAATGAAAACGCAAATGAAAATTCGCTGGACAAAATTTATCTATGTTTAGGGTTTACGCAATTTTTTGATGTTCTAAAGTTAAACCCTCCCTGATTTTTTCGCGGAAGACTCTCGCTCTCTTAAAGTGAATCTGTAAAAGTGTTTCTGATCGAATCAGTAAAAAGACTATTTCGCCGACTATTTCAGTATTCGCTGATTTTCAGTGAACACTCGCGATTTTATAGCACTTATATCTCGCTGACTTCAACCAGTGGAATTCAGATTTCACTGCAACATCCGTGATATATAAATTCGTTATACGCTTTACTAAATCCAACTTTCTGCGTTTGTGACGATGGAAGTAACGGTAGTTTGCGTGCAGTGACACTATCTGTGTTTATAAAGTGCACACAGAGAAAAGGACATTTTTACTTGGAAAACATTATTTTTTTATTTTCAATTAAAGCACGGATGGAAAAAGCAACGAGTAATATTACTGTTAAGAAAGTGCGAGAAAAGTTCTCACTTTAACTAATCAAATATTTAGAGTCAATTATAATTCCACTAATCATTAATCTTGAAGCTATGATTACTCTTAGACATTTTTTGTGAGGTAAAATAAACGATCTAAATCAATGTTTTGAATCTTCTACCGTCGACGAAAGTAATTGAGTTATCTCGGGGAGAGGGGGCGTGATTTTGATTCTTATTTATACCTGCAGTGGTATGCAGCAAGAATTTCCGTCTCATATAATGGAAAGGCACAACTCACGCGCGTGATATTATATACGATTTAATTGCTTCATTGGGAGAAAGTAAGGAAACTAATAATTAGCGTACGAATTGATTTGAATGCGTCCAAGAGAACGGTGCGTTTCGCGTCACGCGTGTGTAATTGCATTGACCGCGATCGTGCTTTTTCCGGATTATACTTTCGAAGACTTTCATTACGCCCGATCGCGCGTTAATACATACGCCACGAGGCATCACCTCGGAAACTGGTCCCCGAGAAACGGTTAATCCGAGTTAGTATCACGCGCGTGTACGATGAAAGTCAGCCCGCGATTTAGCGCGGGGCTGGAGGGAAGAACCGCTCCATTGCGTCTTCTTTACGGAAATAATAAACCACTTCTATCGGCCGCCGCGCGGATGTTTGCGATCGCCGCTATTCAAACACATGAGAGGAAAGTATCCTACTTCGGAGAACGCGCGTAATTGAACACAATCGCACAATCGCGAAAGTAGAAATTAGCGGTGCGCGACCTATTTCCCCAAAGAAATCCTTTGCTATTTTCGACCGCTTTCTAACGCGTGACGCTTGCGACGCGCGTCCAACGAATATACGTGCGCGTGACAGGTGGAAGATCGGTTAACAAACAGGTGGAAGATCAGTTGATAGATAAATGCCGGTCGAAGTACACCGAACTCTCAAACAACTCCTAACATACGACTTTCCGACGAACAGAGCAGAATAACGTTTAACTGTTGTAGCTCATATATCAATGTAAGGGAGATCGGAGCTAGATACCCTTTATTTTAGGATTTCAAAGTTGCAAGTTCTCAAGCAACTAATTGCTATGGCTGAGTGTATCAATATAAAGTATGAACATAGAGGCAACCTTCTTCTATATATTAATGCCCACCACAACTCTGTTAACTGTATATTTTATTTTGTAATAAAATATGAACATGTAGCAATCATGGTAGCCATCTTGCCCTGATACCGGGTTCAGTTGTTCAGTAGCACAGGGCAAAGCAAGCCACGTATGAAACATGTATCCTGATTAGTAGTTACCCGGTCTCCCCTATCAGTAATGTTAATACGCGTCTCAAGTCGATATTCATAGTCCAATTTCGTATTTAAGATTGTCTTAAGTTCATCTTCGTAGACAATGAAACAATCTATACTTAAATATCTAAGGATGAACTTAAGGCAATTTAAATATAAAATCGAGCTTTAAGCTTAATCTACAATGTGTTATTTTCTTCCTGTTTCTTTATTTCTTTCTGACTCAAACCTTAAGCCTTAAGCCTGATCTACAATATGCTCTTTGCTTCTTGCTTCTTTCTCTTTATCTCTTTCTGACTCAAACCTTAAGCTTTAAGCCAGAAAAAGGCAGAAGACAAGAAACAAAATGCAAAGAGCATATTGTAGATCAGGCTTTAAACTAAAAAAAGACAGAGAACAAGAAACAGGAAGCAAAGAGCACATTGTAGATTCGGTTTTAAAGCCTGATCTATAATGTGTTCTTTGCTTCCTTTCTTATTTTCTGTTTTCTTGTTTTCTGTCCTTTTTTAGTTTATAGTTTAAGGTTTGAGTCAAAAAGAGATAAAGAAAAAGTAACAGAAAGCAAATAATACATTATAGATCAAGCTTGAAGCCTGATCTACAATATGCTCTTTGCGTTCTGTTTCTTGTCTTTTATCTTTTTCTGATTTCAGCCTGATCTACAATATGCTCTTCGCTTCCTGTTTCTTATTCTTTATTTTCTTCTAACTACAAAATCAAGATTTAAATAAAAAAGAGATAAACAGAAAGAAATATAAAACAAAGAGCACGTTGTAGATCAAACTTAAAGTCTGATCTACAATATGCTCTTTGTGTTCTATTTTTTGTCTTCTGTCTTTTTCTGACTTAAAGCTTAAGGTTTGAGTCAGAAAGAGATAAAGAGAAAGAAGCAGGAAGCAAAGAACACATTGTAGATCAAGCTTTAAGCCAGAAAATGGCAGAGAACAAGAAACAGAAAGCAAAAAGCACATTATAGATTAAGCTTTAGTGTTGTCTATTAAGTGTGGAAAGAAAAACCTGAATTCTCTCTTCACAGGAAACACGTTTATGTGGTCCCCATGAAGAGATGTGTCCAAGGCTTCCTGTTCCGTGGCTGCCAGAAGATCTGCCCGCCTTACTACGACCCCGTGTGCGGCACCGACGGCATGACGTATAGTAACGAGTGTTTCCTAGAGATCGAGAACTGCCGCAGCAGAAGTCTCGTCACGAAAAAATACCACGGAGTTTGCGGTCAACCGACAGAGGAGCCGAAAAATTATCTGTACTAAGTTCGACCGATCTAGCCACGATTTGACAAGGTGACAGGAGAGAAGAAATCAGCAAAATAAAAAAAAAAAAGAGGAGAGATCGAGAAGATAATTTAACTTGTAGCTCCCAGAACCGGGAATTGACGATTGCTATGCATTCATTCGTCATGAGTATTCAATCACTCGGCGAGCTAACTGCAATTTCGCTGATCGATCGAATATTCGCTCTGCTGTTCGCGACAATCTAGACGCACCATCGTGATGAGCGATGCGATAGAGAATAATTCGCGCGAATTCGGCTACACTCGACTTTGACGACCGGAAACGCACTGAATGTCTTCTTCCCACGGAGGAAAACGCGCTCGGGAAAAACGAGCATCTTGCCAGTCGCAGTCCGGATTGTTATCGTATTGTTACTGCTATTATTACTGTACTTCTATGATAATAATATTGCCGCGATTGCCGATCCTTTCTCGGACGTTACTTTGCACGATTGCGAAGCGATTTCGCGCCATTACGATTAATGCAAATCGGCATTTTGTATGAGGAATTCGGCAGATAATTGCCTGTGATAAATTTCGAGAAATTGTTTTTGATGCTTTGCAAATCGAGAGAAGGGTCGCCAGTCGCGCATCGATATAGTCCTTTCGATATCTTCGCACATAATTGACGGTATAGACTCATTATTATTTATTGTAGCATTAATCATTGCATACGACACACGATTTCATTTTTTCATAGCTGCGCCCGTCGTTCTAATTATGGCTATTAATGTATCTCGACGCAATGTTGCCAGAGCGTACTCTTACTCAATATTGTGCTATTGTATCTTCTTCCGATATGTGATGTGTGTTCAATTGACTATATATATATATATATATATATATATTATTATATTATATCATCATTGCAATTTTTTAATTTATTATCGAGTATGCGAGAATCTTTCTTCTGTATCAACACTAACACTGTATACGCTTCCAACGTCAATAATAAATCATATATGTATATTTTAAGATATACAAGTGTTATATCTCTATGTGTGTATGTGTGTGTGTGTGTATGCACGTACACTATGAGAGAAAAAATGGCTAAAAAATAAAAGATATTTACTCGGAGTATAAGGAACTAATAACATATTTACATATACCGATATAAAATATAAAATAAATACATAATATAAATATTACACATTGATAAGAATATAAAATAGTTTATAGATAAGAAAATATATTTTTAAAACATATATATTTTTTTTCTTAAAATCTTGAGAAAACCTCAGCTTCACATGAAAACAATTGTTTATTGTTCTGCTTAAATAAAAGAATTGAATTTAAGCAAATATGCTATTTATACACCGAATAAATATTTACTATTTTTTAGATATTTTTTCCTCTCAGTGTACAACGGCAATAACACGTTATTTGTTCATGTCTATTTTCGCAAAAGTTCCAAGAAAATTGACATTGGAGGACAATGTTATAAAAAAAAAATAAAGCATGCAGTAGGCAAGTTTATTACTCACCAAACGATGCTACGAAGCTGCTCGATTGGCGCCAACCGGCTTCACGACTCCAACAAATTACTGTCCTCGAGAACGGATATAGAGATGGACGAAACACGACGAACGAGAAGCACTTTCGCGATACTCATTAACGACAATCGCCCAATATTTGATTCGACACTCCCTTGACCTAGATAGAACAAAAATATTGATAACGTTATCATCTGTTACTAAAAGTATCGATTTCATGTACATAAAGTAAACTCAGATATAATAGCTGAAATGGAGAAGATAACCATAGTCTGGAATTTCTCCAATAATTACTAAATTGATAAATACGTTTTAACACATGAATGTACGCACATAAAAAATTATGTTTATAACAACAATGTGTCTTATACTTTCCATCACACTCTATCTTTCGGAGCTTGTAACCGCATATAATGCTACGTAAATGTTGGATACTTATTTTGTTTGTAGAGAAGTTTCTTGTTAATATTTTGATCGCATGTACCAAGTTTGCACTTATATTTATGCAAAATCTATGTGTAAACAAAATATATGCGAAGAAATACGATAAAAATGTTATGATCGTGCAAAGATGATTATAGGTTATAATTTCTAAAATAGTGCGCTTCAATAATTGCTAAAATAGTGCGCTTTTAATAATTCCAATAATTGCTAAAATAGTCACTTTCAAAGATAATCGATATTTATATTAATAAATTTATATTATATAATTTTATTAACATAAAAAATATATATTATATATATTTTTTCTTAAAATCTTAAGAAAACCTCAGCTTCACATGAAAACAATTGTTTATTATTCTGCTTAAATAAAAGAATTTAATTTAAGCAAATATGTTTAAAACATTAATTATATTAAATTATATTTATTTTTTATATATTTTATATTAATAAATATCGATTATCTTTGAAAGTGACTACAAAAGCGCACTATTTTAGCAATTATTGGAGAAATTATAACTTATAATCATCTTTGCACAATCTTAACATTTTTATAGTATTTCTTCGCATGTATTTTGTCTACACATCATTTGTCTACACATAAATTTTGCATAAATATAAATGCAAACTTGGTACATACAATCAAAATATTAACAAGAAACTTTTCTACAAACAAAATAACTAACCATTATTTACGTAGCATTATATGCTGTTACAAGCTGCGAAAGATAGAGTATAATGAAAAGTAATACAAATATACACAGAAAAAGGATAAAGTTTAATTTACAATGTGCTCTTTGCTTTTTCTTTATCTGTTTCTGACTCAAACTTTTAGCCTTAAGCTAGAAAAAGGCAGAAAATACGAAACAGGAAGCAAAAAGCACATAGTAAATCAAACGCAGGAGCTAAGATGCAACTGTGACAACTGCTAAAATATGACTGTATCAATAGCTACGATGCATCATTGAAATAGGGCCAGCTAATATCGTTGCTCTCTATCAAAACTAAATTTATTAACTGTTTGAATTTCAGCGTTACAGCAAAATATATCTGCTGCTAAATAGAAAGTTTCCATTGCCACGAAATTGCTTTTCTTTCAAATTGCGCTTTATACCCGTCACAAATATAAAACTATGTTTCGCGTTACAAATCTAAAGCAAAATTTTGTTTTTTAACACGGAAATTGCTTATTACGACTCTAGAAGAGGTCCTCTAACACGGATTAATGAGTACTTTAATGGAAAACACAGAAATCGATGTCTTTCATACTTACATGACTACGTTATTTAATCTTTACTCCACAGATTTCATATTTGTCGGAAGCGCGGTAATTTTCCCTTTCCAATGGTCTTTGTTTCAAGTCGCCACGACGTCTACAAGTGGAGATATTCGCGATTGTGTCACTCCGTATTTTCGATCGGCCGGCGTTATCGCTACCGCGCGAGCTGCGACACGCGACGCGGCACGCGGTCGTTACTCCCGAAAGTCACCTTACGCACTGTGTACGTGACGGATAGCGAGCCCGCTACCCCCCCCCACTCCGCGGCTCCGCGGAGGGGGGGGCTGCGTCACGCGGTCGTTCACCTCACATTACAGACAATACAGTGTACGAGAGTAAGTGCCGAATTTCGAGCTTGAACTTTTATTGGTAAGACTGATTGATATTTATTAGTTTAATTGAGATTAACTAAGATTTATTAATATTAGTGAAAAGAATTCTATAAGATAAATCCCTTAAACGGTGTCTACAATGAGAACTTAAAATAAAATTTAAGCTTTAAGCTTTAAGCCGTAAAAAATTGACCAGTCACAATCAAATATGAGGAAAATAATCAGCTGTGATTATTCAATTTCTTGCGACTTAAAGCTTAAGTCTTATGGTTTAATTTCTCATTGTAGACACTGCTTTATAGAGTTTAATGCTCAAGATTCACACGCGCTTTGAAATTTAGAAATAGTTAATAATATACGTTTATTTGACAGACAAACGTATGCTTTTAATTAAGAACTAACAAATTTGTATCTCTCACAGCGAATACATTTAACCTGTGATACGCCATGTCATGTGCCAACTCGTAATAGTGACAGCAAAACGAAACTTTTAGCGAAATTCGAATCAGTCATTGAGATTTGATAATATTAACAAATCATTTTTTTACGTGCAATATTACGCGCTGTCGAGTTACTGATTTTGAAAGTTAAAATGCATCAATGCGGAAAATAATTAAAATTTCAATGATAAAAAAACTCTTTTATCATCATAATAAACAATCGCAGTGCAAACCGCATAAATAACGTACCATGTTCGTAAATAAAAAATCACAAAAATGCGGATCGACTGTGACAAATGAAATGGATTCCATATGCACAGAAGGAAATATTAATCACAAAAGTCCATTCTATTATCAAAATAAGCAATTGCCGTAGAAATCGTATTAATGTTATGTCGCTCTTTATGAGAAATAAGACCCGAAAATTCAGGGCGATTGTGACAGATGATATTCGTGCGCGAAAAAAAGATTTTGACGTCCTTTCTACTGTTATAATAAACAATCAGAATGAAAATTGTACTGTGTTGCGTACCATGTTCTGGGAAAATAAGCTTCCAAAGTTTGACACACGTCAGGCAAATGGAGAATTCCCGGTAACAAAATTCCCTGGAAACAAAATTCTAACGATAAAAAATGTTTCTAATATCATAATAAGCAATTTCCGTCGAAAACGCATTAACGTAACGTCCCATGTTTGCAAGAAATAAGTCTCGAAAATTTGCGGATCTAAAAAACGCTAGGTTCAATATAATCCTCTAAAAGTTCGATTCTAGATGTAGAGATTTCAGATGTAACCCGTTAGAAAGCTGAAGTTTTCGTATATTTGTCGAAAATGTAGTCATTCTTCTTGACGTGTTTAAGATCGATTAATAAAACGAAGTACAGAAATAATGATCATCATTTAATAGCGCAATTGGAACTATCAATATATTGAATAGAGTCTGTAAATAAAATATAAGGAAACTTTCGTGTAAAAAAAATATCTCGCATCGATATAACTTTCTTTATTTCCGAGATTTTAATCGCGAAAATCAGTAACAAACCCATCCAAAAAATGCAAGGTTACCAAGTAAAAGCAGTTGAATACATCGTGCAATTTGCTTATTGACGTTGTTGTACGTGTTACCGAGTTATTTGTCATGAAAGTTTAAAGGCGACTAAAAATTGACGCGACACAAGTATACGTAATTTCATTCAACAGTGTGGACTATTGTCTCACCTTGTTCTATGTCTTCCATCCTTGCTTTCCAATCAAGCATCCTAGCTTTCGGTCGCTCCGTCTTCTTCTTATTATTATTTTATTTGGACTCAGACTTATCTTTTGTCCTTTCATCCAAGGTCCCGAGGTCACGAATTCCAAAAACATGAAGTCCAAACTGTTCAAACACGTCAACGTAATGGCGGTTACTCAGGCGCTCCGTCGTGAATACTCTGAATATTTGGGCGAGTTTTTTAATTCATGCGATGGATCCATCGATGAATTAAAAAACTCGCCCTTTGCTAAAGCTTAATCTACAATGTGTTCTTTGCTTCGTGTTATTTCTTATTCTCTGTCTCTTTCTAGCTTAAGATTCAAGTCAGAAAGAGAGAAAGTGAAGAACATATTGTAGATCAAACCTTACTGCAATAACACGAATCGACACGATACTTTTCTTGAAACGAGTCAGGCCTGCAATCAAGAGAGAAAGAGAGAGATAAATACTTTCCTTGAAACTCCCGACTGTCTGTTCCACGACACAGCAATTTCGAGCGTTTGTTTGACAGCATCTCATTACGACGGACGCGCGAGACTTGCTTTCGACACATCTGATGATGTCCATGCATAATATTGACCTGCAACAGATCGGCGATGCGAGACACAACGCGACTGACAACTCGTATTTATAACCGACATTTTGACACGACAAGCGCGCGATACTCCTCTTGGAACACTCGATTATCCGTTTTGCAACACACACATTTCGGGCACTTGTTTGACGGTATCTCGTAACAACAAACGCGAGAGACTCACCTTCGACATTGCTGGCGATGATTCGGATGCGAAACTCGCTTAAAATGGGCCGAAATCGTGAAAAGCTGAGGACGATTCGTAGAATACGTTATTCCTGCGCGATCGTGTTCGCTCTCTGCAGCGGTGCCAACTCATGAAAAGAACTCAGCACCGGCTGTACGATAGGCGGACGAATAAAGGGTTTAAGGGTCACTATTCATAGTCAGATCTTAAGTCTTAAATTCATCTTCAGATGTTTCATAAACAATAAAATGATTCGTATAGCATTCGTACAGAAAATAAACTTGAGACGATCTTAAATGTAAGATCTGAATATCGCCCTAAGAGATTATTAGACCCGTTATTTCTGCGACGTGCGAGTGAGTTCCAAAGTCTTCGCTACGCGTCGCCACTTTCTTGAACGCAGTAGAATTCTCAGGAAGGAAGTATATGAATGAGAGTGAATAAGAGAAAAAGTGCTGCATGCTTCGTCGTTTCAGAGCTTCTCTCTCATTTCTCTTTACTGGAGTTTCTCTCTTACTTCTAGCACATCATCTCTAAAAATGTTGAATAAATCGCGACCCAATTAAGAATCATCATGTATTGTTCCAACTCTAACTAAAGAAACTCTAAAACAAAAAATCAAGAAGTCGTGTTACAATTAAATAATGGATCGAATGCACCCTTCGCTTTATCAAGTAGTAATACTCAACGACTCAGACGTCCTTTTATCATTTTCGTTACCAGCGTTACACATGTGTGTTACACAATAATTTTCACGAGAAACTAGCATCATATGTGTGCGAACGAACATTTTTTTCTATACTGAGCTTATCAGACTAAATCTTTTTACACAATTATATAATAAAAAGAAATACAAAATCGTCTATGGGGAAATCTCCTCAAATGAACTCTGGTAGCGAACATGTTATTTTGTCATAAAATATTGACATAACGCTCTTGAAAGAGTTAACAAATGTGGAAAAGAACTACATGATTGTTTTTGATTTTGTTTACACCGAATATGGTATGCATACTAAATAGTAACTTTCTATTAAATAATCTTAATATTGACAATGCATTTATGTTATAATTTCTCTTTCAATAACGTAACTGTACATGCAATATATATTGTATTGCACTTACATTATTGAGTAAGAAATTGTAACATAGATGTAATGATACTGTTTATTTTATATTTACTAGATAATTATTGTCTTAATATTATAAATAAAATTTGTTAATTAATAATTTCATTTCACCAACAATTTTGTCAATTCAATATTTAAACTATTTAAGAAAGAGTGAGAGAGAGAGATTCACATATTTGCTTACATTTGTTATATTATTTCTTTTTCTTTCCCTTTCTCAAACAGCACATAATATAGGTATTAAATGTTTTGCAAATATTCAAATATCCGAAAAGGAGCAAATATATCCGAAAAGGCAAACATTCAAATATCCAAGTTTGAAAAGGATTACGATAAATATACAAGAAATATTTATGAAGAATATTGTTTTAATATTTAACAATTTTTTTTATCTGAATTCCCATGGATCGAGTTATACTTTCTTTTGTTGCAAGAACGCGCAAAGCGCTGAAAAGCGGGAGGTGCTGCGATCGTTCGAGTAGCGTCTAGAACTACGTGTGAGTAAGTGACGCGCGACTAACCGTCTAGTTCGCTGAACGTCTGTACTGGGATTCTATAACTCGTTATTGGAGTTAACGACAATTTCGTTATCGTTGCACAGCTTTTCTACGGTATACAAAAGCTGCGCAACGATAACGAAACTGTCGTTAACTCCAATAACGAGTTATAGAATCCCAGTGCTTGGGTACATGCTTACCGACAACTGTCGAATCGGTAAACGTCGTTGCGCAGCTTTTCTATAGTATAAAAGCTGCGCAACGACATTTACCGATCCGACAGTTGTCGGTAAGCGTGTACGGAATAGTACCCTTGTGCTGAGATTCTATAACTCGTTATTGGAGTTAACGATAGTTTCGTTATCGTTGCGCAGCTTTTCTACGGTATACAAAAGCAGCGCAACAATAACGAAACTATCGTTAACTCCAATAACGAGTTACAGAATCCCAGCACTGCTGGGCTGTTATCGGCGTGAGCGACCTTCGTTAGTATCGCCGGCGGCTCGTACGCTGTCGCCACTTGTCGGCGGCAAGCTGGGCGCGCGCGAGATGGCGCCGCCGCGCGGCCGTATTGACAGGTGCTTCGGGGGGCAACATGGCGACCAGTGTTTACGACAACTGATCGCGGTCGATGGGATTCGCGCCGTTCCGGGCGAGC